TAAAGACCATAAGCCGACCAAACCTGTTCTGCAAGGGGATCCAGAAGATGAACCACCTGTGCCTCCGCTGTACATTCCCAGTGCTCTGCCACCATTAGAGCAGCCAGTACCACCTCTCCCAGACAGTCCACAACCTTCAGTGTCCCCCTCATCCCCATGAGCAGCCTCCTAGCCCCAATAATCTCCCACACCCATCAATGACTTGGAGTCTGAGTCTACAGCCCCTGAACTGCTGCCTTCACTAATCCCAGGTGCCAGGCCCTCTGGCCAGGGCCCTACAAAGGCCTCTCTGCAAGACACAGGGCCCCAGCCAATTGGTGCAGCCCAGATGCTCTGTCCTCTATTACCAGCCTTTCAGTACAACTGACCTCTTAAAGGAACCACATGCCACCTTATTCAGAAAATCCCCAGGCCATGATCAACCTCCTATGAGACCCATCAATCTACGTGGGATTAGGAGAGCACATGGTGACTCAAGAATTCCTGTACCTACCAGGATGCCCAATTCCTCTTCTGGGAAGGGACTTACTAACAAAGCTTGGAGCCCAAATCACCTTCACCCAGGGAGGAACCACAAGCTTTACAGTGATAGAACCAATACCCTCACCATGGCAGTGACTATGCCTACAGAAGATGAAACCCAAAGTAAGCAATATCCAGTTTTCTCAGAGGGCCCCCAATTGTATCTACAATTCAAGAGGATACTATCCAGTGGGGGAACTGGCTGCTAGCCAATGTGCCCAAATCCAAAACTGTACAGCCACTGCCATTAGATGTACAGTTGACAGACCATGGTGCAGCTCAGGAACCTTTTTTGTCTGCAGGACCCTTGCTTATCAGTGCTTGCCTATAACTGGAATGGTATTTTCACATTAGCACTTCTCAAACCCCAGATGAACATAGTGCCTAACAATCAGACCCTCCCCGTACCTTCGATGGCCCATTCATGATCAAAGAGAGCTATCCAATTCACAACTTTATTAATTGGATTAGGGATAATGGCTGTGATAGGAACAAGCATAGGAGGAATTGCCTCATCAGCCTCCTACCATAATCAATTATCAGCAGACTTAACAAATGACATAGAACAAGTGGCTAGGTCCATAGTGGCCATACAGGACCAGCTGGACTCCCTGGCATTAGTGGTCCTCCAAAATCAGAGAGGGTTGGATTTATTGCCAAGAAAGGGAGGGACTCTGCCCTTTCCTAAATGAAGAATATTGCTTTTATGTGAATCAGTCAGGAAGAGTCAGAGACATGGCTCAACAATTACAGGACCAGGTCACAAGTAGGAGACAGGAATTAGCAAATATCTGAAACAGATGGAGCAGCATCTGGAATTGGGCCTCATGGCTTCTTCCCTTGGCTGGTCCTCTTTTCAAGCTCCTATTGGCCCTCATATTCAGACCTTGCATTATCAATGCCACAGCTCAATTCATTAGCTTGTTTTTTTTGTTTTTTCTTTTTGGTGGTACTGGGGACTTCATTAGCTTGTGAATGAAGGCAATACAGAACCCTGGGACAGGAGGAACCTGATAGAATCCCAGGAACCTAGGGTCAATGCTTGTCAACAAGTAGGAAAAGCATCAAAAGGGGGAATGAACAGGAAGATCACCTCAAAGCAGGTTATGGGACACAAGAAATTCCTAGTTAAGCCATAAAATGAGTCCACGGCCAAGATAAAAGGCCCCATGTGGAGATAATGACCCATTCCTGCCATTCTTTGTCCCCTTCTTTAAACAGACTTCCCTCTATAGATCCCCTGCTTCCCATTCCTGCCTTTGTCTCTTTCTGTAAATAAACTTTCCTAAACAGGCCCCTCTGCTGCTCCTACCTAAACAACCCAGGTTCCCTAACCCCAGTGTAAGTCCATCTATTAGCAACCAGCATGTTCCCTGCAATCCAATCCCCTGCACTGCCCTTTAAGAATCCTGTGGTTTCACTGTTGGGGCCCAAAATTTTGAGTATGAGCTCACCTGGGACTGCCAGCATGAAAACAAAAAAAAAAATCTGAGTTCTCCCACTTCTCTGAGTGTCACTTGATTTCTTATCTGCCAGTATTTCCAGAACACCAAAACAACTACAATAGCTGCATCAAAGATCACTATGACAGACAGAATCATAATGGAAAAGTTTGAAATATTCCAAGAATTACCAAAATGTGAGACACAGACTTGCTCAATGCAGGATTATCACAGCCTTCAATTCATAAAAATCACAATTCTAGCGAGGCAGAAAGTTTAGTGGAATAAAATGTGGTATGCCATGCACTCCCCTCAGAAGAACTCTGGGATGCCTGACATCCAGAGATGCCTGACATCATGCTGCGCTGATCTCCCAAACCATCTTCTAACTCCTTTATGGGTGCTTGATAGCTAACCTTAATAAACCAAGTGATTTGATAAGAGGCTAATAATGAAAAAAGAAGATCACAGTTGGTCACATCTGATAGGAAATGTGTTCTTTACCATTGAACATTTATCTGACCTTGTTTAAACAGTGACTCCTCTTCAAGGACATTCCACAGGAGGATATTTACTCTGCACATCAGATGAGACTGTTCATTCTTAAGAGACTCCTTGTTTCCTTTCCTCAGTGGCTGAAACCTTTCCTATGATTTAAGACCTGCTTGCATTTCCATTTAAATAAAAGGCCTCTCCCTTTTTAATGGATCCATTATTTAAATATTTCTGTTTCATACACAAATCCCGTTCAGTTACATTAAGATATTTGCATGACTGTGTAGTCATCACATCATCCATCACCAGAAATTTCTCATCTTCCCAAACTGAAACTCTGTGTCCATTCAATTTAACTCCCTGTTTTTCCCTTCCCTTAGCCCCTGGAAACCATATAAACTATGTTTTTATTCAAAAAGTGAAATCTTCACCTGCTGACAAACTTTGCACAGTCTCTACTTCCAAAGCGTGTTCAAACACCCAGTCACAGATAATGTGCAGACTGTTCCAGTGATCTCCTTTTCAGCCTCTTTCAGGGTACAATATGACTTACAAATATTAAATACTAAATATGCAATATAGTGTATGTACTTGATAATTAAAATTTTAAGCAAACAAAATTTAAGGCATCTGAAAGGAGTTTGAGCGTATATTCAGAAGTAAGGAATTTGTCACTGATGATCTAAAGTAATTTAAAGTAGTTACCATTCCAAAGAATCTCTTAGTGACATATAAACCATGAATGAAAAGGGCCACACTGTCCCAGTGTTCATTCCAGGTAGGACCTGTTTTCTGAACAGATTCTCTATTGGGACATTCTCATTACATGCAGTTTTACATGTTCAGTAACTCTTGGAAGTGTCACTGAATCTGAGGTTATAGAAGAATGAATTTCCTTCATTAACAATGCTGAGGCAATGCAAACTACTTTGTAACTGAACAAAATAAATAAGCTGAAAGTGACTTACTTATCACTTTGACTTCACAGTAATTAGGTGGCTATGAGAAATATAAAATAAGCAGTCTTTTAATACATTATAAAATTGATTTCCTTTTACTTATTTCACATCAATTATCCATATCTTCCTGTGTACTTTTAATTTATCTTAGATTACTTGTAATATCTAATACAATGTAATGCTATATAAAGAGTTTTTATACTGTGGAAATGGTCATGGTAACTCACACTTGTAATCCTAGCTACTATACAGGCAGAAGTTAGGAGGATGGTGGGTCAAGGCCAGCCCCACCAATGAAAGTTTAGGAGACCCCATCTCAATGAATAAAAAGCTGAGTGTGGTAGCTCACACCTGCTATCCCAGCACTGATGAATGGATTAAGAAAATGTGGTATCTATACACAATGGAATTGTGAAACAGCCAAGATGCCCAGCACTGACGAATGGATTAAGAAAATGTGGTATCTATACACAATGGAATTGTGAAACAGCCAAGATGCCCCAGCACTGACGAATGGATTAAGAAAATGTGGTATCTATACACAATGGAATTCTATGCAGCCATGAAGAAGAACGAAATGTTATCATTCGCTGGTAAATGGATGGAATTGGAGAACATTATTCTGAGTGAGGTTAGCCTGGCTCAAAAAACCAAAAATCATATGTTCTCCCTCATATGTGGACATTAGATCAAGGGCAAACACAACAAGGGGATTGGACTATGAGCACATGATGAAAGTGAGAGCACACAAGGGAGGGGTGAGGATAGGTAAGACACCTAAAAAACTAGCTAGCATTTGTTGCCCTTAACGCAGAGAAACTAAAGCAGATACCTTAAAGCAACCGAGGCCAATAGGAAAAGGGGAACAGGTACTAGAGAAAAGGTGAGATCAAAAAGAATTAACCTAGAAGGTAACACCCACGCACAGGAAATCAATGTGAGTCAATGCCCTGTATAGCTATCCTTATCTCAACCAGCAAAACCCCTTGTTCCTTCCTATTATTGCTTATACTCTCTCTACAACAAAATTAGAGATAAGGGCAAAATAGTTTCTGCTGGGTATTGAGGGGGGGAGCGGGAGGGGGCGGAGTGGGTGGTAAGGGAGGGGGTGGGGGCACGGGGGAGAAATGAACCAAGCCTTGTATGCACATATGAATAATAAAAGAAAAATGAAAAAAAAAAAAAAAAGAAATAGTTTCCATTACACGTATATTGAAATGTTCAGTATCTTTTAGAAATCTCACTTAATCATAGATCACAAGGGTAAGGCAATGCAAACCACCGTGTAATTGAACAAAATAAGTTAATAGGAATAATTTATAATTTAGACTTCACACTCTTTAAGGGAATAGTGAGAAGACAGTTCCAGCATTTCACTACATTATAAAATTATTCTACTTATCTCATAGATTAAACATGGGAAATGTGTTTTAAATTCAACTGGTATCTTGCACGCACTTAAAAGCATGTTAAAGTGCTTGTGGAAGTTCTGTTTCTAGGTTGGCCTGAGATATGGCAGTGACATGCAGTAGCCAGCATAATTCATACTCTGACAAACACTGTTTCTCAACAAACCACTTACCCAGATGCTTTCTTCACGTTGACATTGCTTCTAGTTCTTCCCACTGTCACTGAACATCAGGAGATAGCTGATCAGAGGAGGCCAAATCTGTGATGTTCATTCTCTGTCCAAGGTCAATTTCCAGCCACTGGCATTTATTTTATAGAAGTGGAGTGCAGCCACTAACTCTTTTTTTGTGAAAATAGAAAAAAGAAAAACGGTATCACTAAAATCTTGCATCATTACATTCCTGAAAGCAAGATGGGTCACCAATACTTTTATGGGAGGCACAACCAACCACCCACCCAGGGTTCTCATTCTTTTCATGTCTACTCAAGCTAATATGGTCTGATCCAGAAATGTGGCCTCAATCTATGCTGCCAGTATTTCTATTGTACACACAGGAGACAGGTTTCATTAGTGATTTCCTCGAACAGATTATCCTCAGACATTTACTCAGTGAAGTAAACATGCTAGCTCTTGTACATAAATTCTTTCAAAGTGTGAGAAAACTTATCACTCTATTAAGAATGTGTATATAAATAAAAATTTATGAAGGTCATATCTTCCAATTCTAAAATGTGTAAAGTCTCATAATTACACACATGCAATAAAGATTTAGGAATCAAAAATGGATAAAGACTACATCAATTTCTCTGATATGTAGCTCATAAGCCCTGGCTTTCTGGTGTTCTTTCAGGGTCCCCCTAACTAAAAGTACTTTATTTAAGGCAGTCATCTGAACACCAGGACAGCACATCACCACCTGGAGGACTTATCGTTACTGCTTTATGCATGCTTTTCCTTTTGTTGGAGAGAAAGGAAAATATTCACATCATTTAAAAGCTAGAGAACATTAAATATGGATTGCCAAAAGTAGGGGGCACAGTGTTCAAGGTTGGGATAAGTAAAATGGTTATAGCACAGTCTGATAATCAGGTAATTACAGGCTCATAACTGAAGTAGATATTTCAAAAATGAATACAGAGGAATGGGCGAGACAGGAGGTGATTTCTGTGTGCAAAAGGGAGAGTTCTGAGAGAGCAGATGGGAAGTTAGAAAAAGCCCCATCCAGCAAGTGATGCCTCACTGTCTGGAATGGTAATGAGCATCCCAGGAAGTGAAGACAACAGATATAGAGCAGAAATCACTGTGCTGTGTTGTGTCCAGGGCCTGTCTCCCACTGAAGAAGGAGGTGCCCAAGGATGTACTGTGATTGTACTTTACTTCCAGTTCAACAGAATCTTCAGTTATGTACAATTGTCCCTCAGCATCCACAGGGATTGGGTCCCAGGACCCGCTTACCCATAACCAGTGGAAGCTAGAATCCTCTAAATAAAATGTCACAGCCTTTGCATAAAAATTACACACATCTTTCTGTATACTTCTAATCATCTCTATGTTACTTGAAATACCCAAAACAAAGGAACTGCTATGTAATGATTTCTTAGTCTAGGAGACTGGCCAGTGAGTCACAGGGAATATCAGAGCAGGCAGCACCCAAGATAGGTAGGGGGATTCAACTGGCCTCACAGCCTCACCAGATGTGGGGGCACATTGGTGCTGAGGTTATGAGACCTGCATGAGGTATAGTCAAGTGAGTGGGGCAGCAGGTCAGCAGGTTCTTCAGCACAAGTGGGAGTCAGGTTTGAGCACGGTAGACTCCTCTCATTCGCTCACTCAGGAGCTATCCATGCACACGTCATACAACCCTCCTCCCTCACCTTGTGGACTCCGCAGGCCAGGTCCGTCCTCCTCCTGGATGGGCAGGGCCTTCCACCAGGACTGCTATACTGGAGGTGGGCATGGGCGAGGGTGTGGGTCAAGCCTTGTCCCCCTCTCCACAGCCACTGCTCCAGGGAATGAAAAGGCCAGGCCTTTCACCTTGTAGTTCCCCAAGACCGTGCTCAGGTAGTGCCCTCCCTCCTGGATGCCTGGCTCCAGCCTTCTGCCCGGGGCTTCATCAAGACCCACCCAACAGGGCACTGGCCCAAGGCAAGACTGAGCTTCACTGGCTCCCACCTGGTGCACCCAGCTGACTTCTTCCACGTGGAGCTCACTGGGGCACAGCCTGAACAAGAGAGGAGGACTGAGACCTGAAGTGAAAAGAAAGCGGGCTGGAAAGGCACACAGAACAGAGCTTCTTCAAGTGGGAAAAGGGCACAGCATCAGGGAGATCTCTGCCTTGGCAGAAGACTCCTGGGGGAGACCCTGTGGATAGCACCTGCTCTGGAAGGCAGTGGGCAGGATTTGTGACCCTAAAAGAACAGGGGACTCTTCCTCATCCTTCCTCCTCTTGCAGCTGTCAGGTCAGTCTAGCCCAGGCTCAGGAGCTTGGGCTGGATGCAGCTTCAGCCCCAGCCCCAAGTCCCAAACCAGCACCTGATCCAACTCCAGCTTCAGCTCACACCAATGCCTTGGCCACCTGCTGCACAAGTGGAGCTCCATGTGGCCCACTCAGCCTGCTCCAGCAGCTGAGCCCCACTGCCCTGGATCAGCCTGCCCCATGCCTGCCCCACCACTCTACTGCCCTAATGTCGCTCTCCCTCCTCCTCTCCTTCTTGGCTTACCTCTATGTGATCCTATAAATTTATTCTTGAGATCACTCCAGGTTTTCCTCTCTTAAAATGTTCACTTCAGTGACAGGAAGGCATTCTCCATGTTGGCCAGCCACATCTGCCCCATCATCCACTTAGGGACAATTTACTCAATCCTCAATGCCTGAGCACTTCCTCCCTGTGGCCCTCCTCCATTCTGCCAGACAGGAGAATTAATTTCTTTTTGTGTGTGTGTGGGTGGTGGTGCTGGTGAGGGTATACTGGGTTTTGGACTAGGGATTACAACATGAGCTACTCCACCAACCTCCCCATCCCTCTTTCTTTTCTTTTTTTTTTTTTTAAATGTGGTGTGTTTTGTGAAGATAGGGTTGAGAACTATGTGTCTAGACTGGCTTCAAACCATGATCTGCCTGATAACCTGCCTCCTGAGTAGCTAGATTATAGACATGAGCCTCACTTACCTCACCCCCCACTCCCCCTCCCCACCCTGGCACCTAGAAGCCAGGAGAATTTCTGTCTGGTCTTTCCCTTTTCTGGACTTCTCACATCACTGCCAGCAGATTTCTTTATGGGGAGCAGGACATGTTTCTCCCCAATTCCTTGCTCCCCTACCCACTCATTATCCTATCATACTAGGGTTTAAACTCAGGGACTCATGCTTGCTGGGCAGGCACTCAAGCCACCTGGCCAGCACCCATGCTTTCAATCCCAAAAGGCAAAGCAAAGCAAAAACTGGACCCCCTAAAATAGAAACCCTGGCACCTAGAAGCCTGGAGAATTTCTGTCTGGTCTTTCCCTTTTCTGGACTTCTCACATCACTGCCAGCAGATTTCTTCATGGGGAGCAGGACATGTTTCTCCCCAATTCCTTGCTCCCCTACCCACTCATTATCCTATCATACTAGGGTTTAAACTCAGGGACTCATGCTTGCTGGGCAGGCACTCAAGCCACCTGGCCAGCACCCAAGCTTTCAATCCCAAAAGGCAAAGCAAAGCAAAAACTGGACCCCCTAAAATAGAAACCCTGGCCTAATACCAAGTAGCATTTTCATAACTGCTGCCCCTTATCATTACTCTTTCCACCATGCTACATGAGGCTAAAAAATTTGAAGGGGGCCAGGTGTCTGTGGGTCATACCTATATTCCTAGCTACTCAGGAGGCAGAGTTCAGGAGGACAGTGGTAAGAGACCAGCCCAGTTCCCAAGACCCTATCTGGAAAAAAAGCCCTCACTAAAGGGCTGATGGAGTGACTCCAGCATTAAGAGCACCTGCCAGGCAAGCATGAAACCCTGAGTTCAAACCCCAGTGCTATCCCCCCCAAATATATAAAAGAAAAGAAAAGAAAAAAAAATTAAGGAAAAACCTGTGCCCAGAACAAGTCCATGTGATATGAAACCCTCCAACTTGAACCACTTCTTCATCCCCTGGCATTGATACCTAACTCCACACCAACCTTGAAAAAGAATGGAAAATAGAAAGTTAGTTGTGAAGTAGCACAGGTTACACATTTATACTGATGGGCCAGTTTGCTATACAAACAAAGCACAAGGGAAATCCGTTGGCTGTTTTGTCCCTCCTATCCATATTCTATCTACAGCATGGCAGGGTCTCCCTAACTAGCTAGGACTGGCCTAGAACTGGCCATGGTCCTGTCTCAGCATAGATTAGTACTGGAATTCTGGAGGGAAGGTTTCCCAGTGGTTCACAGGGAATATCAGAGCAGGCAGCACAAAAAAGAGAACACTTCTAGGTGCGTGCCTAGGGAGTTAAGGAGCATTTCTGTTATGCATATGGTGGTCCCCCTTCCCTTGGGACAAACAAGATTGAAGGAAGAGAGAGAAATCTGGCTGTTCACTGTGCCCAGGAGCAGCCTGGGGTTCCACAAGATTTGGCCACCTTTGGAAGTGACAAAGATGCAGGTCAATGCTTTCTTAACCTTTGGGTCCCAACAAAGTCACCCTAGCCAGGGACCACCAGTAGTTAAGGACAAGTTCCCTTCACATTTACCTGTCTTAGATCCCTTTTTGCACAGGAGAGAGCAGGATGTGTGAGGCCCATCCTCTCAAAGGGATAGAGCAATCCAGAGACTTATTGGCTGGGGATCCACTCACCCTCAAATAGCTTCTTGTTTCCTAGCCAAGACACCAAAATATAATGCAGGTTTTGAGTTCCTTGAGTTATTTTCCAGGGTCTGTTGAAGAATGACAATCCCAGACAATGGACAACAAGAGTGGCAAGTGAGAAAGAAGTATGTTGAAGTAAGAAAGAAAGAGCACCTGCATGGTTGGGACTCAGAAACACTGAGTTGTAGGAATTGCAACATCTAGAAATTTTTATTAGTTTCTGGCACACTTTTGGGGCAGATTTTGAAAGTCCCTGGAAATACCTTTCTGATAGGGAGACTTTTGGGTGGGCCACAGAGACAGCTTTCTGACAGTCAGGCCCTTGGGTGGACCCTGGAGATGGCTTTCTAACAGGTAGGGATTTGGGTGGGCCCTTATTCCCTCCCTATTCTGAACTCACTCTCACATTCTCGGCACTGTTCTGTGCTATCTCTGTTCTCTTGCCTAACATCTGTTTCTTGCACATTTTAAGTAGTCTTTTGTGGCCCCCAGCTCTAACTGCCTAAGATCAAGCTAACTCCTAAAACAAGTGCTGGGATTCCATGAAATGGCACAACACCCTGCCAAATCCAAGTCTCTTCCAATTGTTATCTCACACAGGTGGCAGCCCTAGAGTGTAGATGCAAAGATGTCTCATTGGGGGTGGGGCACAGAAGAGGGGCTACTGGGGCACAGTGAGGCCCTGAGTGGCAGAGTGTCCTGTTTAGGATGATGTAAGAGGTCAGAAGGAGGCACTGGGGCTAAAGCAAGTTCTGTCTCTTCAGTGTTGGGATCCCGTGGGCACGCTGGCCTGACGTGTGCAAGTGGGGCCTGTCCTGGGCTAACTGCCCACACGAAGGGAAAGGTGGAGGGGATAGGCAGGTGAGCAGCCAATTGCCTACAAGGGCAAATGTGGCCTTCTCATCACAGGATTATGGAAGATAGTTCACTTTCACAAAGGTGTGGAGGTTCACATTCCATACTAAAAGAACGTCCAGGGAAGTGAATAGAGTCACAAAACTTTGCATCTAAAAGCCACTGTTACAGAAGCAAAATGCACCCATCATAAGTGTCCTGGACTAGGTGAAAACCAAACACTCTCAGACAGAGAAGATTTACAATAGAGGGAGGCTCAACAAAGGGGAGTTGGTGGCTTTTATAATGTTCAACATGTGTGGCTTTATCCCTTTTCTATGGCTCTTTGGGTTTTATTTTGCTATTAGAGACATTAGAATTGGATCTCAGAGCATTTTGTGTACCAGGTAAGTGCTCTGCAAGTTGAGCCACACCTCCAGACCTGTTTCCTTTAGTTATTTTTTAGATACGGTCTCACTTTTTGCCAGGGTGGCCTGGCATCAAGATCTTCCTGCTTATGCCTCCCACGTAGCTGGGACTGCACATGCTTCCCACCAACAGCTAGTATGTGGAGATGGGGTATTGATAACTTTTTGCCCCAGCTGTTCTCAAACCAAGATCCTCTCCATCTCCTCCAAAGTGCTGGGATTATTAGTGTGGGCCACCATGCCCAGTTGAGGTGAATGACATGATTACCTAGACATTTCAGAATGACACCACAGTGGACATTGGGAATTATCTTCTATTCCAGTATAAAAAGTACTTTGCATATCTAAAGTACAAGGTAGAATTAAGGACTGACTTTGTTGTACATCTATTTGACATTCTGGCAACTTTCCTTTAGGTCAAATGAACCTAATCAAGAGCATACCATCTTCCACTAACCATTCTGCAGAGTCTGGCAGCTTTCCAGCACCGAAGCAGCTAGGAACCCCAGCCTTTCCTGAGGAATTGATGCATAGTTTATGTTTCAGTAATTTTTCTGTCATTCAGCTTCTGCATTAAAATTAGAGAGATTATTAAAATCTTCAAAACTGTGGCTTTTAATCTACTCACATGTAAATCACAGGAACATAAGCATAAAATGACACATCTTTAATATATGTTGGGCAACTTTTTTAAAGTTTATTTTAAGGTTTTTTTTTTTGTTTTTTTTTTTTTTTGCTGTTAAAAGTATAGGGGAAAGCACCATAGATAAATGTGCCTCAGAACAACTTCATACCAATATATTTTTATTTCATCCATTTCAAAAAGGTTTCTGTTCTTTGGAGGAGAAAATTAGTCTGCATTGCTTTAAGTAATACCCCAATTGTCTTTATTTGGCTAGTCTAGAAAATGAAAGTAAACTTAAAATCCAAAGTTGATTCCATGATTATATATCATAACATGTGCTATAACTTTAGCCTATCTTAATTTCACAAATCTGGCATTATAATGTTTCAAAGATGGCAGGTAAATGCAGGGAACGAACCTTTAGTATATTTTGCTAAACTTGTGGTTTGCCAGCTGTCGCTGGCATTATGATGTTGATATCCTTTTGCCTTACTTATTCATACATAAATACACACCTACTACATAATGTTTGTAACCCTAGTTATAAACAATCGTGTTAAAATTTTAAAATTTATTCAAACCTCAGTGCTTCCAAAAAATTTAAAATTTAAAATTTTGACCCAATTTTGTCATTTGATACATTGTAATAACCTACATTCACTACTTATCTAGTGCTTTCTTTTTTTCTACCATCGTTTTCTTCTGAGTCTATAATTTAGGGATTAAAGACTAAATACTTGCACAGAGTAAAGAATGCAATGCTATGGCTCACTCATTTAAATCACTGACCCCATGAACCCCGGAGAAGTACCCTCCTCGGTCCTCTGCAAACCTGGGCTGCAGGGCTCTCCCCGGCATGTCAAAGGTCTGGCCGCCCATGACACCCAGGAAGATCCCGCAGTCTGGGTAGATGGCCTTGCGCTGGCCCCCACCTCCCTACCTCCCCACCTCCCCACCCATGTACCACACCCGTTTTGCACGGCATGCCTGGAAACGGAGTCCCGGGGTGTCGACCCCGAGCAGTCTGCCAGAGCCAGTGGACCAGATGGCATGAGGCGGTGCCAACTGAGCAGCTGCAGGGATCCCACTGGCCACTGCATGCTTCCGGCTCCCCGGCTGCAGCCACGGCCCGACAGGGGACAGGCCCGGCCATTATCAAAGGCTGACGCCACGGCCCCCAACAGAACGAGGGCAGCCGTGCCGAGTAGCCCATACCTTTGCCTTCAGCTGGTGTGTCTCTAGGTAAAGCCTGGAACCTCAGCCTCTCTCCCAGAAAGGCAGGCACTTGGAGCCCTAGGCCCCGCCCCGCGCCGCCCAACCCGCTGCCACCATTGGTCGGTCGCGTGAGTGACAGCTGTGCGGGAAACCGTTGGCCTGGCGGTTTGCCAACCGTCAGCCTTTCCCGCCAACAAAGAGCACAGCGTGCTCAGCCCGTGGGAGCCCAGAGTCAGTCCCAGGACTGACTAAATAAGCGAGCGAACTGTGGCAGTTCTCACTGACACCTCGCAGGTCAGCTAACGCCCTTCAGTGACGCTCTTAATTTGATAGGACTGATCTAGGGTATTTTCCAAGCACAGATTAAACATAATTACGAGTACGCTATGCTCGTACACCAGCCCGATATAATTATCTCGTAATTGTGTCTTGATTTAAGTAAGTTGTGACCCTGCTGCTAAAGGACCATAAGGTCCGACATGCACGTCCTTAAATCATAGACTACTTCTGTAGGTTAGGAGCTGTTACTAGAACTTTATATGAGTGAGTTTATCTGAGGAATCATAACTTGTTTCTAAAGACGATGGAACGAGCCGGACACCGGTGGTCACGACTATAATCCAGCTACTCGGGCGGCGGACATCAGGAGGCTCTGAACCCGGGGAGGTCCCGTCCTGGGCCCTCTGCAGAGCCGGGCGCGCCAAAGGCCTGGCCACGCACGACGCCCGGGGGAACCGCGGCACGGGGTCGCTGCCCTGCTGCTGACCCCCACCTCCCCACCCCGCACCCCACCCGCTACGCACGGCCTGCGGGGAAACGGAGCTCCGGGGTGTCGACCCCCGCAGCTGCTCCGCCCCGGGCTGGTGGAGCGCTCCGAGGGGCGGACTGGATGGCGGCCAGCGGCGCGGGGCTCCCACGAGCCAGGCCTGAGTCCCCGCGACCCCCCAGGGGAAGGACACGGCCAATGTCCCAGGCCAACGCCGCTCCCACCTCCACCGCCACCGCCACCGTCACCGTCACCGCCACCACCACCGCGGGCACTCACCAGAACGTGGGCGGCCGGGTGGCTTCAGCTTCTGGCCTCAGTCCACACACTGGTCCGGACCAACGGACGTGACATCTTCACCAACGGCTGCCCGGTGCCTCTGGGCAAGCCGGGTACCTCAGCGAGTCTCCCAGGACAGGTGAGGCACTCCAAGCTCCAGGCCCCGCCCCGTGTCAGCCACCCTCCGCCGCCATTGGGCAGGACGAATGAGTGACGGGCGAGATGGGGCGGGGCTACGCAGCGGGGGCCAGGCTTAGAGCCCGCAGACCTGCAGCTTCCTGTCATCTTGGGGGAAACAAACTTAAGGACTTGAATGCCTTAATGATTCCAGTCCTTTTTCGCCCGTTAGCAGAATCCTCTGTAGAGACAATGGAAGACCTCCACCCCCAGAGCTTTTTCTGATCTTTCCCAGGTGCGCTCAAAGGGCTCTTGCTGTGACAGACAGGGCTAGGGAGACCAGGGGAAAAGAGCTCTCTGCCAGATCCCGGAATCTGTATGGAGCACAAGTGGCCATTCCTCAACAAGCGAGCCATGCAAACAGACGACCATAATTCCTCCACCCTAACTAACAGTACTCCCCAAGCTAAAGGCAAACCCCGTTTGCTCCTAGCAATAAGATCAACAGTGCATGACAGCTGAACAGAGGATACAGAGGTCCTTCCTTACCCTGGGGAAGGACTTGGTCCTAGACCGCAGTGGATGCTGAAACTGCAGATAGAAACATATCCTCTGCATCCTCACTCACCCACACCTATGATAAAGTTTAATTTGTTCAAAAAAGTTTAACTTGTTAAGAGAATATTAATGCAATACAATCATTATAGCAGTGATTTTTAAGGTAATTTATGTGAATGTGGTCTCCAAACCTCTTCATGTATTATATTGTATTTGCAGAAGCTGCTCAACCGAAGGTAACTGGAACTACAGAAAGTGGAGCCTCCAATACTGGGGACTACTGTATGTGGGCTATTTTACATCAGTTGCATGACAGGTTTCAAGGTTTCCAAAAAAGTAACCATGCTTACAAACTATACAATCATTTAAAAAAGACAACTCAGTTGCAGCAGTGGCCCATGGGGAGGAAGGCAAGACTGGACAGTCAACAGAGGGACAGAAAGTGAGTGGTATGGGAACCATCTTGGTGTTGCCAGTGTCATAAACCAGCTACACCATAGGAGGCCACACAAAGGTAAATTCCTATGCAGACAGACCCTCTGGCTCTTCTCAGCCAAGTGTAAGTCTGTCCAAATCATTTGAACTGAAGGTAAACTCTTAAAAATTTAAAAGCTCTAGAAAGACATGTCATATATATTACCTTGTGCTCCAAAACAAAACGAAGAAATCTTTAAAACTTATTTTAAATACTGACAGGTGAAAATCCTGCCCTGCACAGCCAGCAAGATGTGTCCGGCTTCCGTCCTGGGAAAAAAAGCCCCGGGCCTCTTTTCTCTTTTTATTTTCATTCATCGCCCAACAAGAACACGACAGAGCATCGATCAGAATCAAACCCAAGGACGTCCTGGACCCCTAGCCTATGGAAAGCCTCCCAGCACTGCACCCAACAATGCTGCCTGGCTCCAAAGCTGCCTGCATGAAACTGCAGAAGATACAGATGAGCATCACACACCACACGTGGCTCCCCTACCCACCCCCCCACCCCACCCCGGGGAAAATAATCCAGTGCAGCACCTAGGTGGACTGAACAACCCTTACCCTCCCCCCACCCCGGAAAAACTGAAAGCCATAAACAGCAAACTGTAATCTAACACCAACATTAGAGGGCGTGGTGGACTGCTGAACATGCCCTGGGCAACAGGAGGGGCAAAGAGACAATCTCTCACTGCTGAACTGACAGGGATGGGGCAAGGAACTGTGCTCCCAGGACCAAACTCTCAGTGACAGCACCATAAAGCAGCAAAGGCTGAAAGCCAGGACAGGGCCTACAAACCAACTGCATAGAGGAGCCACCAGCACCTGCAGAGATCAGGAGAGGCATAAAGGCTAAGAGAGGGAGAAGAGCAACAAACTAACCTCCTAAAGCAAGGCAGGTAGTGGATCCCAGGATGATCTCCAGAAAGAGGGCACCATTCACAACTGACTGTCCCCCTTGCTGGGGGAGGAGCTGACCAAAAAGACCTGCAGTTGAAGAACACTCCAGCTGCTGCCTGCTGAATACAGCTCTGATCACCGTGCATGAACTGGCAGGTAGTCTTACCTGACCTCACAACGCCAACTAACCCTGTGGACAGAAGTTCCAAATATCACTCACAAGCCAGTTGCCTGGTGAGACCACATCAGAGTTTCTGCTTGAACACCAGTACCAGAATTGGACACCTAAGCCATAACTCCAGAACTTTTATTAATAGACTGAACTAACAAGGTTCCTGAACCTGGGGGTGTGTGTGTGTGTGTGTGTGTGTGTGTGTGTGTGTGTGTGTGTGTGTGTGTGTTCCCAACACCTGAGTAAAAGCCAGACACACATCAGAAACCAAAACAAAAACCACTACTGTGTCCTAACCAACAATCCAAAACTCTTTTGAGGCATCTAACCTGTAGCCAATCCATGTTTCTGAACCAAACCTATGAAGAGTATGGAACTGGTACAACCAGTCCACAGTCCAACATGGTCATCAAGGCAGGACTACAAGTTACTAGTCAATGAGTGCAACTAAATGACAAGTA